ACAACGAAAAATAAAAAAGTAAAGGAAAAGAAACGGGGATCACACTTTGTGTTGGGATACAGACATTTATATATATATATATATATATATATATATCTGTGTCACTGCTGCTTTTCTCCCTGACGTCTCACAGTCCCTGGTTGAATCGGGCCACTCTTGTCGACCGCAAATATGGGTCTCCGTAGTGGTAGGTGCAGATAGAACAATCCCTTCTGTCGTCTCTCTTGATGGCTAGAGTATACTTTTGTACTCCCGATCCGTCCATGCCTTGTTCCCCCCTCCTAGTTCTGTTCACTGCACGCACATGCAATCCCATGATACTCTAGGTTGCTAAATCCCCATGTGATGCCATAGTCTTCTCGTTACTCTCGGCCAATAAAGGCACCTCGAAGAGCGATGGATTCTCCGCTCCATCCCCAAACGCCTTCCCCTCTCATCAGAGGAATAATACCGACCCTCTTCCTATAAACAAAGTCCCTTCCCCTACTGCAACAGCTTCACTGTCGCATACATTAAAGAAATCTGACCGAACGAGTTCAAGGCCAGTTTCGGCCGCCTACCCACAACCGTCCGTCATGGACGTGCCCTCTGAAACGATCCCCGAGCTAGAGCCCGTTTTGAATCATCTGAACGCCCAGACGAACAAACTCTACCAGGAAGGCTATTTTCTAAAACTAAACGATTTAGATATCCGTATGTCCCTGTTCCTTTTTTGTTTTCAGAAGTCTTGGGTAAGGACATGAAACCTGACTAATATTGTCGTTTAGATGGTCGATCATTCCAAGAGAGGCAATGGGTGGATTGCTTTGCTCAGTTGATTGGCACTGTTCTCTCGTTATGGGACTCAGCAGCGCTGGACGCAGCTGGTCCGGGCGAAGATGTTCCACCCACATTCATCAACTTGGCTGATGCTTCAATCAAAATGGTATGTACCATCCTTGTTACTTTTTCTTCGAATCCCACCTTATTGCGTTGGCTCTGCATTCTCCTTGAAAAAAAAAAAAAAAAGGCAAAAGAAAAAGAATAAGGATCATGTTTACGGCGTGCAGGTAACTAATGTTGCGACCAGATTGAAACTCTACCCACACGCAGCGAAATGAGCAAGCCTCTCCAAAACATTCTTAGTATATCAACCGCCGGAAAGAACCGATATCTTCTCCATTTCTCGTCGCTACATTCGCTGACTCAATGGACTGCCGCTATCCGCATAGCCATGTTTGAAAATACCATATTGCAAGAATCTTATACTGGCGCACTCATTGCAGGCAAGGGGAAAACTCTGAATGGCATTAAGAATATCCTAGAAAAAACGAAATTCGTGTATGAAGACTGGGCGAGTGTCAGGTTTAGCCCTGGAACACCTTGGAAACGATGCTGGTGTGTGATTTCACCCCCAGATGAGAAGGAGTTTCAAAGATTGAAAAAGGAGCAGAAGAAGAAGTCAGTCTATGATCGAAACGCTCCGTTATTGAAAGGCAACATTAAATTCTACGAGACCAAAAAGACCAAAAAGGTCAAGCCAATCGCTACAGTCACGGATGCGTTCTCTGCATTTGCCATCTACCCACAGTCTCGGCCACTAATTGATCAATCCACATTGGTGAAGGTCGAAGGCCGAATAACGATACACGGCAAATCTGAATCAACTGCTGAAGGATTTGTTTTCGTTCTACCAGAGCTTCATCCTGCAGTTTCCGGTTTAGAGATGATGCTTCGTTGGCTATTTCCGGTTTATGATACGTTTGGTCTCTACGGAAGACCAACCAGACTAATTGCGGATACCCTGAATACTCGAAGTTTAATGTTTGCGCTCCCAAAACGACGGCAACCTGGATATCTCGACATTTTTGATGTGACTACACTGATACATACCGAGGGAAGCAATAATTGGACCGAACGGGAATGGCGAAAGGCGCTAAAAGATGTCACCGTTAAACGAATGACGAACAATAATAGTCGAGAGAGTAGCATGACTGGAAGCGGGCGCTTTAATCGAAATAGCATAGCGTCGCAAAATGGTGTACCTTTGAGGTTTGCGAATGGTGCACCACCGCCCTCTTTGACAGGGAGACCAGAACCTAATCGCTCTAGCGATGGAAATATAAAAATTCCGAAAGCTGGATTGGGTGTTCCGCCAGATCGCAATTCGATGGGTCATAGACACTACCGCGGACAAGGATCTCCACCATCCCTATCATCTGGTGAAAAAAGTTTGTCGGAAGAAGCTGAGCTAGCCCCGGAGCCGCCAATGCATAGAAACTCTCAGTACGATGGAATATCTGGTCCCACCGGATACACTCGAAGAGATAGTGCTAATAGCGAACTGAACAACTACCAGGTCCAAGACCGCCAAGCACTCAGTAATGGATATCAACAGAGCCCGCCCCCTGCACCTGTAGCCATGCCCCCGGCTTTCCTTCATGATCCCAGAAAGGCGCCCCCTGTTAGGCCTCAACCGTCACCGGGCTTTCAAAAAGCAGGGAACCGGTTGTCACAAGGAACCTTATCCCAAATGGTCGATATGAACATGAACATGACCAGGAACTTGGCTGCGACGGGGGCAGCAGTTGCTTGGAGTGAGCAAACTTCGGCCCAACAGCCGTATCATCAAGGTCAGCGAGGGGATGCGGAGAATGCTGGTAACGAAGAGAAAAGTTCCACTGATATGAATTTATCGACCCAAAGCCAAGTAAGCCTTAGAACGTCGAAGCCGTCTTCCCAAGACAACAACGCTCCTGTAGTGGATGGCCCAATCCTAAACTCCCCGAGTCCCGATTCCTATGAGAACCAGAGCTCTGGAATGAACTTTCTTTCCATCGATACCCACAAAGCAACCTCCCCAAAACCGGTCGCCCAGACTCCATATGGTTCTGAAAGTCCGCCCTCTGAAAGAGCTTCGACTCTAGATAGTATGCGTCATGCGATTGACATTGATGCATTAGACAGAATCATAGCTCGAGGGCGGTCTCCCACGGTACCAGTGGAGAATGTCCAGGATGAAGAAAGCGTATATGACCAAAGTTCAGTGTCCTCGCCTGACTATGCCAGCTCTCACAAGTCCTCAGTCTCGCGGCGGTCGCAAAAGTCATTAAAGCCAAGAATGGGAGTACTGAAAGTTGTTGGAGACGAGGGGCCAGAAAAATCAGAAGTAGTGATTGGTGATGCCCGTTATCAACGTTCTGACCCCCTTACCTCTCGCAGAGACAATCCGGACATCCCCCCTGTCGATTTTGGGCCAACACAGGCTTATATGCCCACGACGAGGCGACCCAGTACCTCAGATACGCTAGTGCTGTTAACTCACAAGCGGATTCCTTCAGATGTTACCATCGGCCGAGAAAGGCGAGGGCCTTCAAGGGAAACAAGCCGGGGTCCCCACCTCCCGAAAACTCCATCCAACGACGACCACCGACGAAACATCATCTGGCAACCCGGGATGGTGAGCGGGTCAGTGAGCCCTGGCCCTCATATCACACCTGAAGAGTTTGTCCAGCGGAAGGCAGGTGCAAATTGGCTCAGCTCTCCCATTCGTTTCCCGCCGGGTACTACTCAACCTCGACCAGCATCTGGCGATTGGACAAACCATAGCCGCCAACAATCAATGAAGCAAGACCTACCAGCCCGTCCGCACTCGCGAGGCGCCATTGTCATGTTGGGTCACTCTGGACTAGGATCTACACCACCCCCCCCGTCTGGGGATTGGACCAATACAGCACGACAACAAGCAATGATGCGGGAAATGCCCCCTCGTCCACACTCTCGTGGGGCTAGTGTAATGTTCGGACATTCTGACATTTGCCCCCAACTCTCCGCACGGGAGCAAGAATATGTCGCGCGCGTGACCGGGTCTTCCTTCTTCAACATTAGTAGTGAAAACCAAAGTGAGGCCCCGGTTCACGGCGCAAGCCTCGTAAGCGCCATAGACGCTCGAGAACGCGAGAAAAGGGCTATCAAGGAGGGTCTTAGCGGGCAAATGGTCCAACAAGCTATCGCCCAACGCCAATATCGACAAGCGCAAACCCCATCACCATTTCAATCACAACCCGTGCCAGCACAATACCAAGCAAGCTCACACTTTACACCACAATATTACCAGTATAACAGGTCCGATAGTACGCTTGGTGGCTATGGCTCTGTTTACCCACACCAGCATCAATCACCAAGCCAATGGTCGGTCGACCAACACCAACGCCAGCAATCTTTGTTAAGTAGCCAACAACTTCGCTCGCCGCTGCAGTATCAAGAGCAGCCGGTGACAGCTACAGCGACAGCGACAGCGGGATATCGGCCAAATCCTTACTACCAACAGCCACCAGTTCATCATAAAGCGGGTTTGGGAGCCCCACACCACTAGCAGTTTAAACCAAATGAGTCTCGGGAAACAAAAACGCAATAGAGAAAAGTAATCTATGAAACTATTATATATAGTATATACGATGAGATCTCTTGTCGACTTACGGGAATGACGGCTGAAACATTTTATCTTTTTATCTGTTATTCCTCTTTCGAGTCCCTCAATGATCTCGGACGCCCTTTCGTTTTCCTTATCGGCTTTCCCATACTTCCCATACTTCTTACATCATTCTTGTATTCTGTCCATTGCGTCCGTTGCCTGTTATCCTTTTTCTAGCAGTTTTTCTATATACAATCATTGCATCAACCATCATTAGAATATGTGCTATCATTTTTGTATTTGGGATGAGCTATGTCATTTTCTTGCTGCATGATTTTTTCCCCCCTCCTTGTTCTCTTTCTATTACTTTTCTTTTCTTTTCATTGTTTTCATATAGCACCATCAAACCTGCACAGCCTTTTTTTTTCTTTTTTTTTTTTTTTCTTTTTTTTTTCTTTTTTTTTTTTTTCTTTTTTTTTTCTTTTGCTTGCCCTTTTCATTTGCCCTCCTCATACTTCCATTCCGCCTTTGTTTTACTTTGCATGGATGCTAGATAGGTAGATAATGCTTGCCATATTCAATCTGTGAATCTAACACACAACAAACCTGTATTTTTACATATCTATATCAGTTCCACCCATGCTCTTTCATATCTTCACACTTTGTTTTTAAAAAAATTCCTTTTTAATATCTCTTCCCCTGATGAAAAAAGTATTAGAACTCTTATTTACACCCTCTTTCTCTGAAGCTCATTTTTGATCTTTGTTGTCTGTGCAACTATGCTCTGACCACTGAAACAGTGTCATATGACTCATGTTCATTGACAAGTGTCGTATGAATATTGAAGAGAGGTAAAAAATGAAACTATCTAAGGGAGTAATAATAAATAAAATAAAGTATTCTATTCTTACTTGTCAGCTGTAAGACAAAAAGTTAAATAAGTAAAAATTTCGCTTCACGTCGCTGCATAACGTAGAGTACAGTTTCGAAACAAACACCGAGAAAAATATATATGGAAAGGATTTGGGAGCAAAAAAATGGAAGATGAAACAAAACGCCATACATAAAATCTCGTGACAAAAGCTGGAGAACAAAAAATAAAAAAAGAAAAATGGAGAAAAAGGGGGTAGAATTTGTTGACACGTCACTTATTTTGAGATTCCTCTATCATGAAAGTTTTGTTGGGTTGGTTTAGGTTCGATGGGTGGAAGAGGTAAAAAGGGGAGGACGCGCGACACATTCACACACACATACACACCGCACCGCCCGGCGCCCCTTCTCCTTTCCCCCTTTTTCATCTCAATTATATCCGCCATCCCAATCCGACTGAAGTCGAAAATGATCCTAGACCTTTTTGCGGAAGTAAGCAAAAAAGTAAAAGTATGTCGAGGATCAAAATAGGTTAAATAAACCTAGGAAAACAAGAAATAGAAACACAAACCGAATCGGAACACGCAGAATGACGAGGAAAAAAAAAAAAAAAAAAAAAAAAAAAAAAAAAAAAAAAAAAAAAAAAAAAGACAACTAGATCAGCTCTTATGTAGCTTCTTCACCCGCACAGAGCCCTCATACAGCGCCCTGTCAATAGCCGCGGCAACAGTCAGCGTTCCTCCAATAACCGCGCACACGCCGGTCAGGAAGCCAGAGAAAGTCTTCGTTCGCGCCTCGCGATTGATCACCTTCATGGGGGAAATATCATAGTTGACAAAAACACCCGGGATACCGCCTTGCGAATGTAGGCGCTCCTTGTGTCCCTCTTCAGCATCGTTACCCCCGTCCACAGACCGTTTGTGCGAGGTCACGGAGTACTGGTGCGTTTCAATGCTTCCACCTGAGCCCAAACTGACCCCTTGTTTGCCCAAGGGCACATTGTTGGACACCTTAGAATGCACTGTACTAGACCAGTCGTCATCCCATCCCAGCGGCAGGTAGGAGGTAGCTACGACTTTTACAAAGTACGCAAAGTTGAGTCTGGGGTTAGTTGTGTGTTGCTCAGTGTTATCAAGCGGGTTGGTATGGTGATGGTCAGTCCATTTCCAGCGGCGGGAAACCTCATCGGGCAGCTGGGGCCCGAAGCGGAGGTAGTGGATTTTATGGCCCACGTTATGCGGTATGGGAGTGTTGTAGTAATTGTTCAGGTCGTGGGCGTGCATGTTGCCATTTGTGAAGCTGCGGCCAGGCGCAATGTGGAAGTTGCCGATAACTTTGTTAACGCGGATCACTCCTTCAACACGGCATCCTTCCTTTCTCTGGGCGTCTAGGTTGGCGCTATATCCTTCCTTTTCGCATTGCTCGACATTTTCTCCTCGTCCGAAGGACCAACGCTTCGCTGCGTATGCCTCTCTAACCTCATCGCAGGTATTACAGCACCCAGGTTTTTGTGCATTGGGTGGCGCGGGGGCTCCGTAGCATGAGCCACAGTAATTTGGGTCTAGGTCTTTTGCATTGTCGGTTTTAGAGTGTCTATGTCCCGTACCTTTTATTAGCATTTAAATTGTCGATTTACATAACCTAAGAAGCATTAAAGATATGTAACTCACAATTGCAGAGCAGTAATATCGAGAACCTGGCCTCCCTCCTCTGCCGGGCTGAGGCGCAATTTATTGACACCATGGACAACCTCTGTCTGATACTCGCCGGAAATATCCATGACATCCAGGGTGAGGAGCTCACAAGGTAGATTTGGGAAAGTTACGTTTAAGTGAATTTCCATTCTCTCCCCTAAATAACATTGAACGGCTTAGCTCTGCACCCACGCAATATCCTCAGTTCGCAAGAGGCAACATACCTCTGCCCTTATCAACAACCAACTCTGGCAGCACCACTACACGTCTGTACTCCGACCATTCACCCCATATGAGGAAGAAGATAATGATCAGTGCAGTTATTGTGACAACCCCCCCAGATCTGGTTCGTATCCGCGCATCCTCGACGGTTTTTGTGAAAGCGTCTAGTCGTGCAAACCGTGACTTAGGAGGCATTGTATCGGAAACTGCGCGATTGCGAGTGCTCGAGGGGGAGCTGAAGGCGAGATCTAGTCGTTATTAACAAGAGGAATTGCCCAAGTACCTCCTCAACTTGGCAGGTTTAGCTTCTTCAGCGAATGAATCATTCGACGAGGTTTGGCAGCGCCAAGAGTGTACAGGTTAGAGACTACCAATTTGTTTCATAATAATAGTACAAGAAAGTTATCGAGTAAAAAAGGAGACCCGGAAATCTCGAATCCCAAACCAACCTTGAGAACGAAAGCAGCTGCTGATTGGCCAGAACTTGATGCCAGATAGGCCAAAAGTAGCCGCGTCATGTGATCGCGTTTAGTAGTGCCCAATAAGCGACACCCGCACTTGAGCCTCCTTGACAGGGGCAAAAGTTGTTTCCATCTTGTCCGGTCATATATTTTCTGCGTTCTTCCCTCCCGTGCTTGCTGCCTGCCAGCTTAACAACGCCGTATTTAGCCCATATACCTCTACCGTTAGCCAATACTTATTTTATTCTCGCGTTATATTCTCTTTCGGCTGGCCCTGTTTGCCAAACGTCTCCACTCCTCCAACTATTTGAACCTCATGCCGACTGCCTCCTCTGAGGGGCGAGTATAAAACCTACTTTTGCCCGCTCCTGCCCGCCATACGGATACCATTCCATCTCACTGAATGCTACGGCCGATAATTCAGCTGTCCCCCGCACAATGAATAGCTCAAAAGCTACGAAAGGCGGCCGCAGCCGCACCGGAACGCCAGATCGGGGAGGAGGAATTCGCAAACGAGGGGCCCCTTCTCGCGTAGATCGGGATGGTGACCTGGACATGGATGGCGCTGTGTCTGGAAGAGGGCGCGGAGGACGAAGTCGCGGGCGTGGTGACTCTGGGGGCAGGGCTGTTCCAGGAGCTGGGGGCTTGGGTCAAAGGAGAGAGCCGAGACGGCTAGGCGACAAAGAAAAGACTTTGGATGCACTGGAAAAAGCTATCTTCAGCAATGCATCCTCCCAGGTGAATATCGGACACGGTCGCCCTCGGACACAGGGCAAAGGGTTGGTTCAAGTCAGCGTGCGGGGATGGAAACGCAGCAAAGCGGCTTCGAATCCCGACGGTGGTATTGAAAGCCTCATTTTGTTCCTCGAGAGAAGAGCCCACCCCCCAAACCAAGGCACTGCGGCCCACTCACGATTTAAAATTTCCAAGGTATGTGCAACACCACATTCTAGCGGCCACCGACGTATTCGCAGATACATCCTCCCTGGGCTGTTTACCCTTTCGCGCCGAATGCCCCAGATCGACGATTGAGACACTGTCTAAATATGTCGTACAACCGTTGGATTCCTTCAGTTTATCAAGGTTATTAAGCCTTGCTAACGTTAACTAGTCACATGTCGAAGGGGATGCTTTAATTATATCAGTTCGCCCGGAGCAGGTGGGATGGGTTTTAAAGGTCAACGGTTCGAGCTTTGCGGGCGAGCCACTTACTATTGAAGAATACCGCGACTCCAGTGTCAGTCACACACAAAAGAAACCACTATCGGAAGCCGCCCTCGATACAAAGGCTAGAATGACTGCGTTTTTAAGGAAGAGATACTCTGAGCCAGGGAAACTCTTAAACCTTTCACAGCTTGGCACCGATCAAGACCTTCTCGACATGGGCATGTTCAACACTGCTGCTACGGAGTCTAAATTCTTTCCGGCTCTCATGAAAATATGCGAACTTACATTCGACTCTCCCGATAAACGAAGGGATCTTGTCCACAGTGTCACCCTGGCTCAGAATAAACTTCCGAATGTTACTTCTGTTACTACGCTATCACAAACATTCCCAGCTCTTAAACATCTCGATTTATCAAACAACCAATTTAAGGATATTCAATCACTACTTGCTTGGAGGTGGAAATTTAGAGATCTCGAATTTCTCGATCTTACAGGAAACCCAATCAGCGCTGACCCAAACTTCAAGGAAACTATGCTCAAGTGGTATCCCAGACTCAGAACGCTAAATAATGTTACCGTGCGAACAACGGAAGAAATAGCTGCTCAACGGAAAACTCCGATCCCGATCCAACCTGCTAGTTTCCAAGATGAATCCCGAATTGGTGAAAATTTCGTAAAAGCATTTTTTACTGGATTTGACAACGATCGAAACGACCTGGTGAGTGGGATCTACGACGCCAAATCGACCTTTTCACTAAGCGTCAATCCCGTGGCTCCACGAGGCCTGCGAGGAAATAACGTTTCAGGATGGGATTCGTACATCAGAAAAAGTAGAAATCTCCTGAGAGTTAGCCATCTCCCTGCGCGAATGGCCCGCATCTTCGTTGGTACCGAAAAAATTCGCGAAGTATGGAACTCGTTGCCAAAAACGAAACATCCTGATATTCTTGCAGACCCAAAAGAGTGGCTAATAGAATGCCATCCCATCCCTGGTCTTCCCGATCCCACCAGCCAGAGCGCCACAGGGGTTGGCGGTCTTCTTATAACCGTCCATGGAAAGTTTGAAGAATTTGAGGAACCAGCTATGAACAAAACACAAATGCGGAGTTTTGATCGTACTTTCGTCCTTGGACCAGGCGGTGGAGTTGGTGGTTTACGAGTTGTTAATGACATGCTCTGTTTGAGGGCATTTGGCGGGTCCGAAGCATTTGTTCCAGAGACGGAACAGCCTCCTACGAACGCAGCTATTCCACAAGCTGCGCAGACATCTATTCCGGCCCCGATCGCCGCTCCCATCCCAGGCCCTATCACGACCCCGATCCCCACCACCCAGCAAGTTCATCCTGAGGCAAAAGATGGTTTCGGATTAGCAGTACCTGGAAAGCCAGAAGAGCAGGTCCAGAAGGAACGAACTATTCTGGAAACCAGCTTCCGAACGAAAATGACATTAGCATATTCAGAGATGGCTTTGTCTGGAAACAACTGGGACATAGAAGCAGCGTTGAAGAACTTTGAAGAGTTGAAGGTGAGTCGCATCCACATATTGCATGCCCGCATATAATTTGCTTTGACACTAACACGGGAAACTCGACAGAATCAGGGAAAGCTCCCTCCGGATGCGTTTTTGACTGGAGTATAATTACAATCTATTCATATAGCGAACTATTGGCAGGGGTTGGGATATAGAAGAAAGCATGCAACGCCTATTGATTTTGGGACGGTCATTTACTGGAGCACTAAAAGGAACATATCAGGTAATTCTGAGGAAGCGGCCAAGGCAAGAGAGATTGAAACTGCTGGACTGAGCGCTGTTGCTGAACAAGCAGCCAGCTCAAATGGGCGCTACAGGTGTTTGTGTTTTGCTACTTTTGAAGTTTATATCTGAAGGCACTACGAAACGGTATTGTTGCTGCACTCAAAGGGGTTAGGTTCAGTTAGATATAGAAATTCGTTTCGATGCAGGACCAATGGAAGACCAACTTGCCACGGTAGCAAGGTACAATTATCTGAGATGTATCAGTTAGATAAGCGACTACATAAACTATTTCGAAGTCCCATACTTAAATTGTAGTAATATAAGCAACATATCGTATTTCCCCCATTTTTATAAGTTTGAAAAGGAGATCTCCAAATATGTCACGTGATAGTTCAGCCGACCTGCGTATCTACGGCTGTGTCCAATAATCTACAGGCAAACACTTTATGTATAGCTCACAGAACAACCAATCTACATCGATGGTCCCTATGAACCATATATATTGAGTATTCGCATAAGACCACATGTTACCAGAGTGAGCCGCATTATGTGGCCGGGTGTGACGTCCAATTCATTGGGATGTCACCCACCACCGCCCTCATGACGGAGAACGGCGTGTCCAATCCGGATCCACTAGATGGAGGCAAGCTAGCAATAGTTCTTTGAATCTCATATACCGAGCTGACAGTGATTTTTGTAGCCGACTACGATCCAATAGACCACCTTAATGCCATCTTCTCTCACCCCTCCGCCCTCGCATCAGTATACAAAACATCCGAAGCGCTCCAAACGTACCAAGATGAGCTCGACAGTGATATCGCTTCGCTCGTCGAACGACAAGCTGCTTCCAATGCAGAAAGCGTGCAGCGAGTACAAACAGCAAAAACAGACATGACTGAACTATTTAAGAAGATTGATGACGTCCGCGAGCGGGCTTTAAAGACAGAACAAGCCATCACAGAGATGACAGCGGAGATTAAACAACTGGATAATGCGAAGAAGAACTTAACTCTGTCGATGACGGCATTGAAGAGACTGCAAATGCTCACTATTGCGTACGAGCAATTGAAAGCGCTGAGCAAATCAAGGCAATATCGCGACTGTGCGCAGCTACTGGCTGCTGTGATCCAGCTTATGGCCCACTTCAAGTCGTATAGATCCATTGATCAGATTGCTACACTGAGCCGTAATGTGGCTGATATTCAGCGAGAGCTACTCGAGCAAGTGTGTGAAGATTTCGAGATTATATTTGCAAAGGGGGAGATCCCGCAAAGGAAGGGCGTATTGACCGAAGGCTGTTTGGTTATGGAAGTCTTCGGGGATATGGCCAAATCAAGGTTAATAACCTGGTACTGCAACACGCAACTGAGAGAATATCGCCAGGTGTTTCGAGGGAACGAGGAAGCAGGGTCGTTAGATAATATCTCGAGAAGGTATTCTTGGTTCAGAAGAATGTTAAAAACGTACGATGAAGAGCATGCGTCAATATTTCCTCCTTCCTGGAAAGTCGGCGAAATCCTAGCAAATGTGTTCTGTGAAGGGACGCGGGAAGATTTTAAAGGGATCCTATCCCGATCAGTTCGAAGTGGGCAAACGTTGGACGTTAACCTTCTCCTTTCTTGCCTGCAAACGACCCTCGATTTTGAACAGTCCCTTGACAGGCGATTCACCTCGCAATCTCGTGCGTCTTCCGACACATTTACATCGAGTGAATCTCCTGTATTTGGCCAGTCGATATCTGAAGCTTTTGAACCGTACCTTAGCGTATGGATCGAAGCTCAGGACAAACAGCTATCTGCGCTGATACCGAAATATCGACAACAACCAATAAAACCTCCAGATGAGGAGTTTACGTCACGCCTAGTTATTCCTTCTTCTACCGAACTCTTCACATTTTATCGACAATCCCTCGCACAGTGTGCGAAATTATCCACCGGTGCTAGTTTATCAGAGCTGTCGAAGCTATTTGCAAAATATTTGGATCAATATGCCCAGCAAGTGCTCTTGTATTTCGTCACTGAACGCGCAAGTGGACAGACTCCTTCCAAAACTCCCTCTTTAGAAGACCTGATACTTGTCTTAAACACAGCCGATTACTGCTACTCCACATGCAACCAGCTCGAAGATAAAATTAAAGGACGGATCGACGAGCGCTTTAAGCAAAGTGTCGACCTACAGAGCCAAGCCGATGCTTTTATGGGCATTGCCAGTTCAGCTGTACGCGGACTGGTGCGAAAAGTCGAAGTTGGATTGGAACCATCGTGGAAAGAGATGCGAAATACAGCCTGGAACAAGTTAGAAACCGTCAGCGACCAGAGCTCCTTTGTTGCAGTATTGTTAAGCAGTGCCAAGTCACAATCTGAGGAAATCCTAAAAATGCTGCATAAGCAGCAGTATGCGCGAGCATTTGCTGATAATTTCGTGGAGCACCTTTCAAGCACCTACATGGCTAATATCTTCCAGTGCAAGCCCGTATCAGAGACTGGTGCTGAGCAAGTAAGAGCGGCTCCTCCTTAATCAAATCAGACAATCGAACTTTCCCGCAGCTAACAAATCTCACAGATGCTCCTTGACGCTTACACAATAAAAAGCGGAATCGCCAATCTTCTCTCGCCCCCACCAGCCGGATTCACCAAGCGACTCAACACATCCTTCCAAAAAGTCGACCCTCTCCTCAAGACTCTCCAAGTCCGAGCCACCCCGCCGGAAGCCCTGGTACAGGCTTATCTCATTCACATCGCTGACCGAAGCGACACAAACTTCAGGAGAATCCTCGAAGTCAAAGGAATCCGAAATAAACAGGAACAAAACCAACTCGTGGAACTGTTTCAAATCCACAAATCGTCCGACCGCCACGCATCCAACCTACAACAAAACAATCCGCTCTTCACACAGTTTCAGCCCCCGGCGCCGTCGTCCACCGCCCCCTCCTCCTCTGTATCCCAAGGCCTGGGTTTGAGCAACCTAGGTGGAGCTGGCGGCACCTCACTAGCAACAGGCGCTCTTCCAGGCCGATTCGATGCTTCAAGCCTCGGCTCTGCTCTCATATCCGCAGCCAGAGATGGTGTAGATAGGCTGGGGACTCCTCTTGTGGGTGGCTCTGCCGTTGGCGGCTCCGGTATTCCCACAGCGACCTCCCCACCAGGGACGGGGACTCCGGTGGTCGGGTTAGGGGCAAGCTTAGGGCATCGAGGGGACGGTATAGAAGGTACCGGACTGGGGTCAACGAACCTGAATGAGAATCTCAAAAATATTGGAAAGTTCTTTCGGAGGGATTTGGGTGGACTAGGTGGACGGTTTGGGAAGAGTGGGGATGAAGGTGGGGGAAAGTAGACTTGGAAATGGGGACAGTAGATGAACACATTTTGGGATATGTTGTTTATGTCTGTTGTTTACTCCAAGCAATGTGGGGGATAGGGGAATCGATTGGTTGTACTGTACGTAGCGGGAGGATAGGGAGACGGATATTGCCGCGCTTGTATTTATATGCCAGTGATATAACCTGATGCAAATTTGACTATTGATATGTTGTTGTTCATGTTCCTAGCATCGTCCCGTGCCCGATTGTGATGACCCCTCCGCATTTACCGCTTTCTTCCTGAATACGTTCCCTCGCATTATACTGGAAACGGATACCAGAACGCCACAGATATAAATAACTTGCTATATGAAACGATGAGATTCGGACCCTCCAGTTACAGTAAGTCACATATGTAGGGAACAAAGGTATGTATGTGGCAGCAATTTGGGCTGTATTCATTTCGTAATAGATGATCCTCCAAACTCAGTTGGAAATAAGGGTTGGCTTGACATTGAATTCACATAAGACGAGTCACAAGAATGACTAGAAAAGCAACAATAAAAAATGCGTGCACAAGGTGGGAAACCCATTTTATGGATTATATTATACGAATTCTTATCCCTTTCCTGACATAGGATAACGGCCAGGGGGAGATCAAGAAATTGGCCTTCGACTACGTGCTTCGTTTGCTCGACGGGGAAGCAGAATTCTACGAAAGATCGGGCCAGAGTCAGCCAGGGAGGGCGGAAAAATTCTATACCTTGAGCGTGTAGAATGGCAACCTGGTCTGAATTAGCTTCTAGACTTTAAAAAATATGAAGAATGCGAAGGAACAATGCGTTAAAGAAGTGAGGCGTCATTAAAAAATTAGAGTGTTGTTGTTGCTATTTAGTTGATCTTCATGGAAGAATTGGGGTTAAAAAGATTTAATCATTCGCCAGGGAAGCGGGGGAGTATTGCATTTATCACTAGGAAAAATATGTGCGGGGTCGGAGAAAATGGGAAAATAGGATATTTGGATACACTTACTACTTGTTTTTGGGATTGGTGAGTATGGCATGTTTGTTTGGCGTGAAACATTGGTGCGTCGCGTAAATATAATTTATGAACGAAATCACATGTCAATTTGCAAGTCGCATTGACAGGTGAGCTTGGATCAAAAATATGCATAATTTTCGCATTTAGCTCTAATGCGCAAGGAAATAACGGCTATAGATATACTACATTCGTTTGCTTCAATGTTCTGTAATTCGACCAATGCACTTTTGCATTTAACCGAAAAGGTCACCAAATCCTATAGCCAACAGTCAGTATACATGTGGAAAATTGAAAATACGGACAAGAAATTTTTTCCGTGATAGGGCTATTTTCATACCTTCTTCTTCGTCGCTTTCCTCTTCCTCAGACTCTGCCTTGGCTTCCTCCTTGGCCTCTTCCCCTTTTCCAGCTTCGGCAACTGGAGCAGCGACAGCATAGGCCTCAGGATTGGCAATGCGATCCTTGAGCTCTTCGATCTCGCTCCAGCCGTATTCGGTCTCGACCGCAATCGCAAGCAGGTTCTTGTAGGAGTTGACAACCGAGTGCATGACGGATGGCAGGGTGGGGAAGTTGGTAGCCAGAGAGATGGTGGTGATGGTGCGGATGGCAGACTGGAGGGTGGCCAACAGCTGCTCCTCGCCAACGTCCAAAACCTCCGGGCTGAAGGTCTGGCCCTCATCGTAGATCTGGACAACAGACATACCGTAGGTGAACGGAGAGATGTTCAACATGTTGAGGAGGGTGGCCTCGGAAGCACCAACTTTCGAGCCAGCCTCAACAAGCTTTAGATCGGCGGTGATTTCAATGGTACCACGAGCAATCTTGGTAGGGACACCGAGAGCCTGGAAGAAAGAGGTTTTTCCGGGTTCCATGCCAGTGTTGCCAGCAGGGACATAGACATCCAAGGGAGCGATGGCACCGGCACGAGCAGGGGCAGCAATTCTGTTAGAAAGAACCTTCTCTCTGACTTCTTTCAAGTCAGCGTTGGTGAAGATGAAGCCAACATTGCCCTTGACGTGAGGCAAGAGACGTTCATATTCTGGGTTATCCGCGACAAAGCCCTTGATGGCACGGCGAACCTAATTGGAGATCAATTGTTAGCAATCCGCTTCCGGGAGGGAGTATCGCTTCTTGATTGGCATACCATGGTGTTCTTTCCCATGAGAACGACGGCCTCGCCTCTTAGGCTGAGGCGGATTTCGTGCATCTGCTGCGAGCTGACATTGTCGACGGTGACGATGAGGACTGAGCGGTACTCATCGAGCAGCGTCTTCAGCTTCTCGAAGTAAGCAGATTTGTTAGCGGACCTGCCCCCCATGTCTTCTTATTGGGATGAAGATAGGATGTTTAAGGGCGAGGTAAATATCGTGGGAGGGAATTGGAGGTGTTGATATAGAGGTTGGTGATGGTTAATCTTTTTCCGAAAGATTGTGATCGGGATTTTTGTTCTTGTGGATTTCGGCTAACTAGGGCCAAGCCTCGGTCACGTGGATTTCACTCCATCCATCGCCCAACCCGCCAGAAACAAGCCGTGGATAGTAGATCCCTTCCATTGGAAGATGAATTGAACTACGCTTAATTGTTCTTATATACGCAGTAGACTATACTCCGTACCCCTTTCCTCAGTTGCAAAATTCTTAGCTAGCATAGATCTGATTCATCTGCGGATTATTACCACATCGTGTTCATTTGGCGAGCTTTCAACAGGCCCTAGAACTCGCCAAGACCGGACTTCATTAGCGCATCATCCGCGAGACAGACAAGAAAAATTACACAGCGGAACAACGATCCTTAGAACATACGTTCGCATTCGTAGTTCAATTATCAGACCATGCCTTTCCAGCACCCCTTCCAGTGCATACAATGCCTGGGAAATCGGGCGCGGGAAGCTCCAAATTTCCTCGTGGGCGCTGCTGGACCAAGGCTCTATGTGCTAGATGGCCACACAGGTAAGTCGCTCTCTGTCTGGCCGTCGAATAAAGAGATGGCGGCGACCAAGGTCCCTCATGCAACCAATGCAGACTCGCATAGTCAGGGCAATGCTGAAAGTAGTGAGCCTCGTGAGAAAAGGCGGAAACTTTCACCAACAACCCAACAGGAAGCTGCCAGCGTTGAAGGAACCACGGCATACGAGGGTAAAGCAAACGGGCCAGATAAATCGCAAGAGTCGAAACTGGCCTGGTCGACGATCCCAATTGTGACAGCCTCAAAATCCGGGAACCACGTCGTTGTAGTTACTGCAGAAGATAAATGCATCCGGGTCTTTGAGGTGAACACGAGCGGAGTGCTCTCTCAGTTGAGCGAACGGTAAGTATTACTTGATAAACCTCGGAACATGAAAAGATACTCGTCAACTGTACTAACAAAAGCATAGATGTATGCCCAAACGACCATGCGCAGTTGTACTGTCCAGCGACGAATCTACCATTATATGTGGAGATAAATTCGGAGACGTCTACTCTCTCCCACTCTTCCCAAGAGAAGACTATAAACCACCTCCCAAGAAAAGCGCGCAGCTCTCACACCCAGCTCAGCCATCTGCTTCTGTACTCACAGTTCATACGAAGCGCAATCTGCAAGCGCTCGAGCAGCAGCTGAAACTCGGCGCGAAGATTTCAACTGAGAAAGCCAGCCCTACATTCGAACTCAAACTACTGCTAGGACATGTGTCCATGCTCACTGACGTCGCATACGTGGACTTAGGCGTCGATTCCGAATCCGCTGTTTGCCGACCTTTTATAATAACTGCAGACCGAGATGAGCATATTCGGGTCTCCCGAGGGCCCCCTCAATCCCATATAATTCAGACCTACTGTTTAGGTCATACGGCATTTGTGAGTAGATTATGTGTCCTGCCATGGAGCGCGTCGACTTTAGTATCCGGTGGGGGGGATGATTATATTCTGGCGTGGCGTTGGGCAGAAGGAAAACTTCTGCAAAAGATTCCGATTCCACTAGACGGCATTGTTAAGGAATCGAACGAAGAGTCTGCTACCGCAGCGGAACCGTCCGCACCAGGAATTGCGATAAATGGAATATATACGGTCTCCTTTACAGACAATTCTTCCTTGAGCGAGAAGGCACCCGGTGCAATTCTCGTAACTTTAGAAGGGTAGGTAATACAGACCGGATATTTGGATGTGTATGTATGAACGTCGATAAGCTAACGTTTTTTCGCGCCAGGATCCCAAAACTCTTTCCATTCAGGTTTAATCCTGATGGTAACATTACCGCGCAAAAACCCGTCCATCTTTCAGGGAATGCATTTGGGGTCGTGTCACCTGATAACAAGGGCAACATTATCGTATCGGTCGACAATGTACACAAGCCTGGATCCACAACGGACCAGCGAAAATCGCCAGATACAGAGCAACAACTTCTTCAGGTGTTTTCAGTAACGTGGGAACGAGAAGAGTTTAAGTGGACAGAGGTTGACAGCAAGATGGCCATGGCGGTCAGCAATCGTGGTACTTTTGCTGTAGCTAGTTCTGAAGATGAAAAGGAGGCAAAAAAGCATGCGCAGGCCCTCACACCTACGTTATATAGTGTCGGGAATCTGAGGAAGTGGGGGAAAGGGGACGATGAATGAATTCCCCAAAGCGTTCATTGAATCTACTACCCGATTTTATAGTCCTGTATGCAAGTTATGAAATCTGCGCATAGAGAAAATTTTATAAACAATTGAAACAGGAACCTGATACTCTTAATTAATCAACTTCTGGGTATATATTATTTCCATTGTTTCAAAAATAACAAAATAAAAAGATATGACTGGATAAGAGGGGGGGAATATTGCATGTGGAAAATAAATGCCTGCTCTCGAACTCTTTATCTAAATCTTCCCGTTCCAGGCTCCGTAGTAGTCGGAACTATTTCGTCACAACTTATTTTCTCTCGTCTCTCCTCCATTCGCAACACCAACTCACTCCCCCCCCCAAAATGTCGTCGCATCAATTCGAACCCCTTCAAAATGATCTTCTTCTCAGAGCTGCTCGAGGTACATGCTCATTAAGATCCCGTCAGTTAATATAGTGGCTAATTGATGTTGTGATTTCTAGGCGAGAAGATAGAACGCCCTCCAATATGGATTATGCGACAAGGTTCGCCAATTTTACCCCACCGCTCCCCCTCCAATCCCTTCAACTCCCGGCCTTTGCACCTATTCAAAGAGAAAAGAGAGAGAAACGATGAAACCCGATGGTGTAGGACGGAAAAATGAAATAATCATAAAAAAAATTCATAGCCAGATAGGACCAATTACTAACTTAACACACCGCTTCCCACAGCTGGCCGCTACCTCCCCGAATACCATCAGGTAAAGGCCAAAAATGACTTCTTCGAATGCTGTCGCTCCCCCGAAATCGCCTCCACTCTCACTTTACAGCCCATCGAGCGCTATTCAGGGCTCATTGATGCCGCCATCATCTTCTCCGACATCCTCGTCATCCCACAGGCCATGGGAATGACCGTCGAAATGATCGACAAGAAAGGGCCCAGCTTCCCGGAACCACTAAAATCCCCCGACGACCCGCAGTACCGCCAGGTGCTAGACAAGAAAGTCGACGTCGCAAAAGAACTCGACTACGTCTACAAAGCCATCACACTCACACGACACAAGCTGAAGGGCCGCGTACCGCTGATCGGCTTCTGCGGCTCACCCTGGACCCTGCTCTGCTATATGGTCGAAGGGGGCGGGAGCAAAATGTTCATCCAGTCCAAGACGTGGGTGTATCGATATCCCGAGGCGACGAAGGCGCTGCTGCAGAAGATTGCAGAGATCTGCGTCGAATACCTTGCCCTGCAGGTCGCGGCGGGTGCGCAACTCGTGCAGGTCTTCGACTCGTGGGCTGGCGAGCTGTCGCCGTCGTCGTTTGCGGAATTCTCGCTGCCATATCTGCGCTATATCTCTGCGAATTTGCCGAAGAGGCTGGCGGGGATGGGCCAGGAGGTCGTGCCCATGACGGTCTTCGCGAAGGGGGCGTGGTATGCGCTGGATGCGCTGTGTGACTCTGGGTATAATGTTGTGGGCCTGGATTGGTTGCATGATCCGGCGGAAGCTATGAAAATTGCCCGAGGCAGGGTTACGTTGCAGGGCAATGCGGATCCGGGCTGCTTGTATGGCACCCGTGAGTCGATTACTGCGATTGTGGAAAATATGGTGCAGGGCTTCTGGGGTGAGAAGCGTGGATGGATTGCAAATTTGGGTCATGGTACGTAAATCATATTACCCTATGGATTTAGTTGGTTTGGAAAGGGAAATGAAGATGTATGGATACTAATACCCAGGAATTATAGGAATTACTCCTCTTGTTGACCCAGAGGACTTGAAATTCTACTTCCGGGAAATTCACCGCCTAACATCCGCATGAATGAGAGAATAAAAGGGCCAATGGAAGGTTACAAAAAGTTAGATAGAAAAGATCAAGGGGGGAAGCTTCGAGCTTGTTTACGGTCATGATATGTACACAAACATCAGCTAGAAAAAATCAACATACAGAACGCATTGACATATGTTTATGGTGATCCAATCCAATCCAAAAGTCCGCGCCTATATTTAAAATCTAAACCCCCTTTCTTCTTTCTACCTCTGCGTTTATCCAGTCCAACGTTATAGTCTCACAGCCCAAGATCATCCTTCCTAATAAACAAAACCCGATCAGCACAATCCAATAGACTACACCAAGAAGCAAAAATAAAAAACAAAATAGCCGTCTTCCCAGTCCACTCACCAAATGTCAGGCCTCTCCTGAATAAACTTCTGCACCATCTCTATACACTCCTTATTATCCAGCACAACAACTTCCACCCCTCTATTAATCAGGTACTGCTCGCCGCCCATGAACGTGGTGTTCTCACCCACCACAACCCGCTTCAACTTGTATAGCACGCAGGCACCGGTGCACATGTCGCACGGGGACATGGTGGTGTACATTGTTGCGCCAACGTAGGTGGAGGCCGGTAGCCGGCCGGAGTTTTCGAGTGCGGCGATCTCACCCTATTAAGGCGGGAATTTTGGTTTTAGTTAACTTATATATTGTAATTCAGTATGGAGAGTCATTTTGGGTATAATTTTGAAATATCCCCCTGTTTGTTATACTCCCCGTATATAGAATTATCTAAAGAATGAACGAATTTCGAAACAATAGAATAAACCAACAAGAGGGAAAAAAAAAAGGGGAACAGACATGTAAAGTAGCGCTCCCTTTCTGCACGCGCATGTTGTGGCCGCGGCCCAGGATCTTGCCGTCCCTGGCGACTAGACAGGCGCCGATGGGGATGCCGCCTACTGCAGCGCTCTTCTTGGCCTCTTCCAGAGCTGCGATGAAGCCAGGATCCTGTGCTGACATGGTGTCTTTTTTAATACTTTTTTCTCTTTACCTGACGGTTTTAACAGGAGAGTCTATACATATGAGAATGTATTCGTTGGGAATCGTGGCAGCTGCTCTAATATAATATGGTAAGGGGAAATTGAGAATAATAATAAACAATTTTTAACAATAATGTTGTACTTTGCGGGTATATATGGTTCTATCAATTGAGTTGGATACAGGCAGTTAATTATATATAAACATTTCTTTCCCCAGAATTGTGAATTGTTCCCATATTCCATCGGAGGGAGCCGCACCCAGCCGGAGCTTCCCCGCCACAGCTAGTTTCTTATCGATAAAGCTTCATAACCGCCCGTTCAACTGTGCAGCCCGGGAATGTTGGTGGTCTCGATAGACCGCCGTGATTTTTTTTTCCATAGTTTTATTTTGTGTAAAAATACGTATTTAATAGAATTCTATGATGAAATATTATCTAATGATATTGAATTTGAATTCTTCATGTCTAAAGGTTCTATACGGAGGTTTTTTTCAAAAGTTTTGTGTGAAAGGTGTAAAGCTTGCTTGATTGAAGATTACTAGCTAAATAATAGAAATCAGAAAATACTGTGGCATGTTGGAGCTACTACACAAGCCCTAACCCACGTGACCCACACACATATATTTAGCTTCCACTAGCTGCTAGTTAGTTAGAAGATAACAACAACAACCAACCACGTTCAACCTCTCTCACATGGCATGGCATAGTGTGACAGCTGATTAAAATTGATTTATAACTGTGTCATGCTTACTCACTCTCTGTAGTGAGTGTATCACAGTGTACAGAAAATCACACTATATAGAAAATATTTTCAATATCTTCATTCTTCATCTTTAAATAATTATTATTAATTATAATTATGTCTAAATCTTCTAATTACACTGAGAAGCAGTTATAAAGAGCTGTTAATACATATAAAAGTAATTTAAAATTTAAAATTATATCTCTGACATATGAAGATATATAATTATAGAATATCTTTATCATTATATTATAATATTACTTCTTATAGCATACGCTGCTATGTAGAGTCAGATATAAGGGTAAAAACTTATCTTATTCTCTAAAAGATGAGAGATGAGTGTACACTCTTATATATACAGTGATTGTTTTATAGAGATTAACTCTCATAGAAGAAGTAATTGCATATAAAGAGAAGAACAGAGAGAGAAGATAGAAGTGAAAGCTTTAGAAAACAGTAAGAGATGAAGTGAAAGCTAGAGCTGAATAGAGAATTGACTTAAATAGAGAGTAATTATCTATGAAGAGAAGAACAGAGACTCTGTAGAGAAGAAGTGAATACTCTCATAGAAGAAGTGATCACATATGAAGAAAAGAATAAAGACTCTGTAGAGAAGAAGTGAAAGCTCTCATAGAAGAAGTAATCATATATAAAGAGAAGAACAGAGAGAGAAGATAGAAGTGAAAGCTTCAGAAAACAGTAAGAAATAAAGCAGAAGCTAGAGCTGAATAGAGAATTGACTTAAATAGAGAGTGAAAGCACATCACAGTCTCTCTATCTGAAAGAATGTGTCTGTGAAGAAGAAAAAATAACATTGAAAAAAGATGATAGATATTATAAGCACTAGGTTCAATAAAGTGAATATTATTCAGAAGTGCTAGTCTGTTTACATATACTGCAGATATTATAGAAAAGAGAAGACTGAGTGATAGAATCACTTATTTATATAAAGAATAATTAGATATAAGAATTGTTTATCTCTATAAAGAGTGAAAGATGTAAGAATAATTTAAAAAGAAATAATAAGAAAGAGATAGAAGTTCTTTAATCTAAAAATAACTGTAAGAAAAGAAAGAGATTGTAAAGAAATTATAAGAAGCTTGAATAAGAAAGAGTTCTTTGATAAGATAGATGAGAATGAAAGTTTCATTATAATAGAGAAAAGATTCTGTAAGTGATAGAAATCAGTGTAGATGAATGATTATATCAATATATATATTATAATCACTTTCTTCTTATTCTTCTCTTATTTCTCACACATCTTGCTAAAATTTAATATAGCAGAATTAGCAAAAATCATGATATATAGAAGATTAGATTATGAAAATGATAAGTCTTAAGAAGAAGTCAACAGCTGTGAAGACAGATGCAGTAAGTATAATGAAAAAGATCTTGATCTTAGAGAAATTATTTCAGTTATTAAGTCAGAAGAAGTATGATACTCTTCTTCATATAAGTAATAGAGAAGAGAAGACAAGTAAGAAGACTGATAAAGAGAAGATAGATGAGAATGAGATGAAAGAAAATAATAAAGATAAAGAGTTAGAATTTCAGATAGATAAGCTTCTGATACTATTAACTTATCTTTTCACATATAAAGTAATCAAAGATCAAGATAAGAGAAAGACAGTGATATCTTATTATCACTCAGCTAGACTGTATGATATCACTGTAGAAGAGTTAACAGATGAATTATATAATAGAAGCTTAAAGAGTCAAGAAGAGTCTAAAACTGTGATGTGAAAGCTTATAACACTGTTTACTTATTTGAAAAAGTTATGATTATTTATACACCAGTTTTCAGAAGAAGATATTAAGATGAATAAGAGAGAAGAGAGTCAGAAGACTGCTGTAAAAGCAGTCAGTGATAAAGAGCTGTAAGTAGAACTGAAAGCAGAAGCTGAACAGATAAATATGAATACTGAAGAACTGTTATCAACAGAAGAGAATAAGAAGCACTGAAGAGCTAGTTAAAAGCAGTATAAGACTCTGAGTGATGATGTTTTGAGAAAGTCAGAATGAAAGAAGAATATTAAGAGTGACTAGATATCTTGACTGTATAATATAATATGTATGAGATGTCTGTATTATAATGACAAGACTGACTTGTACTTTTAACAGAATGATAAGCTCACTCATCTGAGTATATCAATTATGCAGAACTCAACTGTAAAGAGGCTTGTAAATACTGTCTTAATCATTGAAAGACTTACAGAATGTAGTGAGAAGATATTATTTATTAATCATGAATTTTTCATTTTATTCAGTCAGTAATTGATTAAAGATTTAAGACAGTTATCTGTTAAGTAAAAGTTACACTGATGAATAAATAATGATAAGCTAATCACTTCACAGACTATCAATCTTAAGAATTTCACTAATCAGAATATTATTATTCTGTAGATCTGTAAGAAAATAGCTTCTATATTATATCAGTCTTGTATAAAGAGTCAGAAGTGATTTAAGAAATGTATAATTATCTCTGTAGATAACAAACAGACACAGTAAGAACATGATATTGTAGAATAGTTAAAGATTGTGTATTAATAGATCTATCTATAAGAACATAATATAGTGATGAGTTATGTGATCTAGTGAGATTGCTAACTATAACAGCTGTAAGAGTCAATACTCTCTCTTGAGATAACAAGAATCACATACAAAAACACTCAAATCATCAAGATAGTCTGTCAAAACCAAATACAAATGTAAAATTAAACATTTTCAACTTTTATACCTGTAAAATCTAGTAAAATCATGAATCATGTAAATACTACATTGTCTAGAGATTTAATGAGTTCATTCACTGCTATCTGAGTGATGAGAATGTATTCTAAATCAATAATTCTCTGATTCAACTGCTAACATAAAAAATGAAAACATGTGTTAATATGCTTACTTCAGACTGTAATGACTGTCACTCTTATGAGATCTATAACATTCTTATTATCAGCAAGAATTCATATCAGAGATATAGTGATGAAATCAAGCTCAATTATAAGATTCTGAATTCATGTTGCCTCACAGATCATCTTACTAAGAGTCATATATTCAGTCTCATTGAAACTTAGAGATATACAAGATTGCTTTACTGAACATCATGAAATCAGGTCATCTGTGAGCTTAAAAATGTAGCTGAATGTTGATTTCCTATCATCATTCAAGAGGCCGGCTCAATCAGAATCCGAGTAGCTGAAGAGTAGATAGAAATCATCAGGGAAATCAGAGGTAATGGAAGAATTGGTAGAAATAAAAAAATCGGTAGGAACGGAAAAATCGGTAGAAATGAAAGAAACAGAAGGAACAGAAGAAACAGAAGAAACGGAAGAAATAAAAGAGACGGAAGAAACAGAACCCTCATACGGGCCGCATCTGTAGAAAATGCCCAGATTCATAATCTCTTTCAAATAATGTATAACATGTAATAGAGCCTTTCAATATTGAGATATTGAATCAACATTCTGTTGAGCGAGTAGTGAGGCAGCACAAGTGATATCAGAATGTGTTTTAACTGCAAGATATTACAAGTAACTCACATCATGTTGATATCACTAAATTATGAAATCAGTCTCTTTCTCAGATATAGAGGAATTATTAATACAGAATCTATTCTTCATTGATATTCTGATAACAGCTGCATCATCAAGGTAGAAATCTTTAATAAGATATTTAATATATTGACAATGTATTAAATTAATTCTCTTATCTGAACAATTAATCTTCATATCTAAATACTTGATTGACTGATGTAGATTCTTGACTTTCAATTTCTTACTAAGCATACTCACTAGTCAATCAGTATTCTCAGAAGCTTCAGATATGATGTTGAGATCATCAACATAGATCATTATATAGAGATGATATCTGAATGTATGATATCAGAGTGCTGAATCATGAGCACTGACTGTAAATCTGAGATTACTTAACAGAGCTGTTAAGTAATTATATCAGATCTTCACTGCAGAGTTCAGACTGTATAGACTACTCTCAATTATGCAGACAAGTGTTTTCAGTGAATCTGTCTCAAATTCAGTGAGTTATCTCATATAGATCTTCTTAGTAAGATGCTTATAAAGATATGTTATCACTATATCTACTTAACA